GCATTCAGCTGACTACATTAAAGGTAAGTGCTCAGTCACACTGTATCCATTCCTCATTATTTATTACTTTTATTGTACTGTATCCATTTCTCATTATTTATTACTTTTATTGTACTGTATTTCATTGTAGATTTTTTTTTTTTAATTTTTTTTTAATTTTTATTTTTTATTTTTTTTATTTTTTTATTTTTATGTTTTTTATCTATGTCGGACTTATGACCTGGATTTGGGTCCCTAACCCCGTCGTAAGTCGGGGAGCACCTGTATAGCAAACATCGTTGGACCCAATCACGCGATATATCCCGACCCTACTATAGTACTTGTCAGTTCCTTTGGACATCTCGGTACGACTACGTCAGCCCCCTCCATTGCTCCCTCCAACAAGCATAATTTAGTCACAGGTTACAGCATCGTGGACGTAAACGTCTTAACCACTGCCTGTCGTATAAGTCCAAACTCTCCAACCTTGACTTCCATCACTCAGCCAAGGTGCCATTTGTTGCATGGACTATTTGTTTCTGCTATAATGATTACCCTAAGTCACCAGGGCGGAAGTTGCGCCTTGGTCTGAAGTGCCCTTGTCGAGTCCTGAGTTGAGGAAGGTACTCTGTCAGCCAGCGCTTCCAAAATTGATCTGCAAGGTATTGGACATGCTTCCACCTTCTGTGGTATGATTTGCCCATTGACCTAACACCTAAAGGGAGATCACCCCTTTTACCTAGGTGCAAAAGATCAGCAGGCATGAGAGCCTTCAGTTCATTTGGAGTCTTTGGCACTGGGGGGATTGGCCTTTTGTTAATTATGGCATCCATTTCGCAGAACATTGTTTGCAGACGTTCATCGTCTAAAACTTATGAGCCCACAATTGCCTGTAAGACCTTTTTTATTGTGCAAATCTGTCTTTCCCATACTCCCCCATGTACGGGGCAGCTGGTGGATTGAAAACCCAATCAATATCTGCTGATGTAAGGCACTTCTGAGTCTATCATTTTGCTCCCAACTTTTCACAGCCAGCTTGAGTTCTTTGGCTGCCCATACCATGTTTGCCCCGTTATCCAACCTCATATGCTCTGGAGTACGTCTGCGTCGTGAGAACCTTGTTACTGCGTTGAGGAAGGCATCTGCATTTAATGAGGCCTAGACCTCTAGATGAACAGCCCTAATAGTCAGACATGTAAACAGACATCCTCAACGCTTGACCTGTTTCCTCCCTACCTTGATCATGAAGGGACAAATATAGTCCGTTCCAGTATAATCAAATGGTGCCTTTCCAGGAGTGACGCGATCTATTGGTAAGTCAGCTTGCCTTTGATGCCGATTTCTCCAGTTGTTCTGTCGGCACACTACACAGCGTCGCATGATTCTATCAAGCAAGCGCCTGCCCTGGGAAATCCAATATCTTTACCTCACACATGCCATCGTGTGCTCTCGTCCAGCATGTCCGGCTCTTTCTTCGCGCATCTCCCACACTATGATTTCGGTGACGTGGTAGTCTCTAGGCAGCTAGATTGGCTCCTCATCACTTCACCCAAGAAGGGTTCCTTTAATTCTTCCTCCTAATCTGAGCAACATTTACTCCTCTAAGTATGGTTCCAGTATACAGTATATCGCTTACTGTTCCTGGGCAGCTCACCCTTTTTGTGACAGTTCAGATTTCCTTCTTGTAAACTTCTTTCTGCATCAAGCATATAATTGTATCTTCAGCCGACTGTAATTTCTCAGCGCTTACCTCTTCAGTTTGAGGTGCAGGTCTCCGGTCCTTATGCTGGATCCAAGCCAACGAATGTGCCTTTTAATCCATGCCACCCCTTTCACCAAGCGGTACCATGATGAGTACTTGAGCAACAGTTTGGCAACTACAGATCTTTGGTGTGCTTCTCCTTTCACCTCCAGTAAGTCGGTCAGAGCTACTGGCAGTTCCTTTCCCTTTGGCCACTGTTCTTCTTCCTTCAGTAGAAACTCAGGACCTCGTATCCACCAAGATCCTGCAACCAGGTCCAGAACAGGTAATCCCCTAGTTGCATCATCCGCTGGATTCAGTGATGTGCTGACCTGTCTCCACTGGTCAGTTCTTGACAACTCTTGTACGACAGCTATCCTGTTGGATACAAACGTTTTAAATCGTCTACTCGAAGTGGCGATGTAGTGCAAGACTAGCATGCTATCCGTCCAAAAATAAGATTTGTGTATAGTCATGGTCATTTCTTGGCAAAGCGTTCACTGCCAGGACAGCTGCACAAAGTTCCAGCCTTGGTATTGTCAATTACTTGAGTGGGGCCAGCTTCGCCCGTCCGTACACGAGAGAGCACTGGTTACGTCTGTCAGAGTCTACCAGTCTCAAAATAAGTCACCACACCATAAGAAGCCTGCAATGCTTCACAGAATGTGTGCAACTGCACTGAGATGATTTCTTTAGCACATGCTGTTTTTAGGCATCTAGGTACACTAAATTTCCCTAGGTGGGCCAGTTTTCCTCGCCAGGTTCTCCAGGCCGTGTGATTAATAGCTGATAAAGGTTCATCCCATCCTAGTCAACGTCTGCATTCATCCTGAAAACTTATTTTAACCCTGATGATGAATGGGGCCACAAACCCCAGTGGATCGTAAATGGAACTGACATGGCTTAGTAATCATCCCCTGGTCGCTGGCCTTGAGTTTGGTTGCACCTTGATGGCGAGATGACCACCTACCACGAGCCACCTAACCCCCAGATCAATTTCCTTCAGTTCATTTTGCCTCTCCTCCGGTGGGATGGTAGCCAACACTCCTTTGTGATTATTGGCCCACTTAGTTAACCGAAATCCTCCATGCGCCAACAATCTTCTAAGCTGACACGCTAACATTAACTCTTCATTTGGCGAGTCCAGTGACATGAGTAGGTCGTCAACCTAGAAGTTGACTTCCGCTTGCGCCACCATATCGGGAAACTTGGATTTGTGGTCTTGAAATGTGCGCTGGAGGGCGTAAGTTGCATATGAAGGGCTTCCCCCCCCCCCAAGATATGCACCTTCATCCTGTAAGTTGCTGGCGCTCTACTCAGGTCCCCATTCTCCCACCAAAGGAATCTTAATGCATCTCGATGTTCTGGCGCTACTTGGATTTGATAGTACATAGCCTCCACATCTGCCATGATGGCTGAAGTTCCTTGGCGAACTCTAAACAGGACTCCAAGTAATTTGTTGTTGAAGTCTGGACCTTGTAATACTTGGTTGTTCAGGATGTCCCTTTGCATTTGGCTGCATAGTCAAATCTATGTGTACTTTGTTTGGCTTATTTGAGTTCAACACCGGGTGATGAGGCAGATACCAAACCAGCTGGAACTTAGACAGTGATTCAGCATATCCTTCAGCAAGCAGTTTATTTATTTCCCCCACATATCCTTGTCGCAACCGTGCGTCCTTGGATAGTCTCCTTTTAAGCCCTTCTAGTCGATGCGCTGCCATGGACTTGTTGTTTGGGAGTTCTGTGTTCTCATCACTGAATGGTTTGGGAAATTGGTAATGACAATTAGTTTTGATGCCAGTCTCTGACCATAGCCTCAATGCTCTTTTTGTCCTGAATAAGCTGCTGACTGCAAGGCTCCCGCATCCCCATTTTCCAGCTCCAAAAAAAGCTTAACTTGTCTTTCCAGACGGGTTTCAGGACTCCCGACAGTTTTGGTCATCAGGCATCCTACATGCAAATTCCTTGTACGTCTTGGTGCCCAACCGGTGCATTCACTGTCCAACCCAGTCGCGTTCTTATTGCGAATGGATTTCCGCCCCTTCCTGCTCTGACCTCCAAAGGTACCAGGGCCTGTGGCACATCTTGTCCTTTCAGAATTTCTATGCAGTTGCTCTGCGATTCTGGTAACTCCACACCTCGCAGATGGGGCCATCTTGAAATATCACTTGTTGTCACGGACGAGTTGCACAGCGTGGTGGGGAAATTTTGTATAATGAGTACCTTCAGCATCAGTATGGTCTTGCCTCGTTTCATGCCTGCCCCAACCACTTCTAGATCTACCTCCCCTGACTCGAGTATCATCTCTTGCGCAAGTGTACCCATGGTTACCAGGGTAGGTGTCCCTTTCACTCTTAGTTTCTGTGCCCGATCCTTGGTGCAATACGACCTGTTGCTGCCTGAGTCCAGGAGAGCTTAAGTTCTGATGTGATTTCGTTGGTGTGAGTCCTTGCCCCGAACCTTCACACTCACTATGGGCAGTACAATGTTGACATTTTTTGTTGAAAGTCAGTTGTCCCCTTCGCAGCTGTATGGGTTTTCATGGCCGTCCTTTCTCCCTGTAGCATAGACAGGGCCTATTTGTCTGGCCTTGTACGAATTGTCGCTGACTTTCAGGACCATGCCAGCATCAGAGGTGCCTGCCATTAACTCCTGTCTCACGGGACCTTGAAAATTTCGCTTCACGCCACCCTTGTTTGTGTTTGACATGCTTGCAGTAAGTGCCTCCCTTCGTTCTTAATGCAACAGTCTAGAATGCTTCTCTTTGCACCCATCAGTGCCACACCTGAAACGTGACCAACACTCAGCAACAAGGTGGCCCACTCTCAGACACAAGAAACAGCAACGTAATCTTTTCACCCTCTCTAACCTCTCCCTCACTGACATGCTCCGGAACTTGTTGTACCCTGCTAATCTATGTATTCTGGAACAGAGCTTGTTTCCCCCACATTGCCTCTCATTTCACTGATAGTCACTATGCCCACGGCTTGTTTGCTTGATGATGATCCTTCTGGTCTTTTCTTGCTTTCTTCTTGATTGTCCTCGCTTGATAGCAGAGCCATGTCATCCATCGTCACCGCTTTCTCCTCCAAGTATAACGCTAACCACTTAACCAGTCCAGTTCTGTGTCTTGTTGACTTCTGGTGTATCCGTACATCATCCACACAGCGTTCCCTCACTTTTTTGGGAACCTTAACCTCCAACGTTTTGAAGGTCTGTCGTGCTTCAAGTTCAGACGTCAAGTTCAGATTCTCCAGATGGCTTACTGCACCCCATAGCTAAGATGCCAGTTTCAGCAACCCTTCGTCGTCGAACTCCCTGACTGGGCGAGCGTCTATGAGTCTTTTCACCAGCTGGTCCGCATACGCATACTTATCTCCAAACCTTGCCTCCAAGATCTTAATTGCCTTGTTGTAGGCTCTGTCTGGCACTAGATAGTCGCATCCCATGATAGCTTGATGCAGCTCTTCTCCTTCACAAGCATCCATGAGCAGTTGGTACTTGTACTTCTCTGGCACAGCTGCATTTGCCATGTGTCGACGGAAGGCATGCATAAAGGTCCAAAACTCCGCCCGACCTTGTCCTTTAAACTTGGGAAGTGTGGCAAGCGGCATGTGCATCGTGGCCACCAATTCTCTTATTTCTTTACCTATCTCTGGTTCTCCTTGTGGACGAGTCTTTGTGATCTAAGGCGCTTTGTTTGCAAGCATTGGCAGTAAAGATGAGGCCATTTGGTTGACCTTGATCGATGCCTGTCGCTGGGTTTCTCCCGTGATTGCTGGAGTTCTCCGCCGAAAGCTGTGAGCTATCACTTCTTCACGTCAGTGCTGATGTCTCTTGACTTGCCACCATTCCAGTGTGCTTCGTCTTCATCCACTCTGCCTTAAGCGCTCGCAATGCTCGGTTTACTTCGTTCGACGCTGCCTCAGCTCTGGCCACTGCTTGTTTGATAATCCAATTCCCTACTGTAATTTTCCCGTGGATCTTCTAATATTGCAAGCTCATTTCCTGTTTCACCACCCTCTGATTGTATCTGGGTGGACGGATCCATTGTCAGTAGGTTAAAAATTTTGCTTCCATCTTGGTCCAACTCCTTCTATGTCGCCGGTATACCCAGTCTCCGACATCTTGCTTAGTCAAATTATTTGAATTACGTTTGTTCTTTCACTTAGTAGCACCTGCCAATCTGAGTATGTTTTCCGGCCACTTGTGTTTAATTATTGGGCACGTACTTATACTTCCAATTACGTTGACACTATGTCTGGGCTTAGGTTCAACAGAATGGCACGTACGTGTGCCTTGTCTCACTCATTTATCAGGGCACGTGCGTGTGCCTCGTCTCACTCATTTATCAGGGCACGTGCGTGTGCCTCGTCTCACTCATTTATCAGGGCACGTGCGTGTGCCCCGTCTCATTTATCAGGGCACGTGTGTGTGCCTCGTCTCACTCATTTATCAGGGCACGTGCGTGTGCCCCGTCTCATTTATTAGGGCACGTGCGTGTGCCTCGTCTCACTCATTTATCAGGGCACGTGTGTGTGCCTCGTCTCACTCATTTATCAGGGCACGTGCGTGTGCCTCGTCTCACTCATTTATCAGGGCACGTGCATGTGCCTCGTCTCACTCATTTATCAGGGCACGTGCGTGTGCCTCGTCTCACTCATTTATCAGGGCACGTGCGTGTGCCTCGTCTCACTCATTTATCAGGGCACGTGCGTGTGCCTCGTCTCACTCATTTATCAGGGCACGTGCGTGTGCCCCGTCTCACTCATTTATCAGGGCACGTGCGTGTGCCTCGTCTCACTCATTTATCAGGGCACGTGCATGTGCCTTGTCTCACTCATTTATCAGGGTGCCTGTGCCTCGAATATTGCGACCTTGTGCACAGTCGACCTGGCAATCACTTTCATTATATCAACCATTATTTTCATTACCAAATTTATCATTATATTTATCAGTCATTATCTCCATTAAGCAGCAAAATTCACTGCCAGCATTTTCCATACACATGTCATTACCTTCACCATCATCATTATCACGAAGAATAAATCACTGTCCTTACTATGTTGACTCATCATCTTCCCTAAATGTCACTATCATTATCACATTAAAAGCGACTTCACTATCATTATCATCCCTAAGTATTATTATCATTGTCATCATTATTATTCTCTATCTTCATAATGATTATTTTCACTAAGTATTATTACCATCACCATTTTCACAAGGTATTAAGTATCACTATCATTTTCATTATCACTCATCATCTTCACAATAACTAATTTTTTCACTATCATGGTCACTGGCACCTGATATCATTACAAACCTCACTATGATATTTATGTGATTTACTAAACTATATCACTTCATTCAATCATGATTGCTAATTGGTGTTGTGCACTTACAGTACATCAGACAACTGTACTGCTGACATTTGTTTTTCACTTGTATATGCACTACTGTACACTGAGAATGATTGAGCTCACCCGGATAAGATTATTTTCTTCACTAATAGGGTTCAAAATATTATCGCGGCGAAAAGTATACTGGCGTTGCCCTGTACTCCTCACCTGCTGGCAAAGAGTGTTGACTCCCTGCTACACGGTAGACCATTCACGTTTGACTTACATCGCCTTCAGAGCGATTATGTGATAATAAGATTAATCCACGTTCCACTCGAAGTTATAATCCGGTCAAACCTGTTGAATACAATTCATTCTTATTATTTCAAATAATAAATCTTACATAGGCAATCATACATGACACTTATAATTAGTACTTAATTTGCCATATTCCCATGTTGTCACAATGATAACCGATACAGTGGACACAGTCTACCTGTGTAAACTTAAGAACAGGTTGAACTTACGTGTTGAAGGTCTCAAGAGAAATGGGTTAGGTGTTCACCCTATGATGGGGATAGCTACAGTGGCAGTGCCCGGCGTCACTATCCCAACCCTGGCTGGCCGACTTTGTTGCGTCATGCGTTTATATGCAAACAAGCTCCCCTTACTACCACCCAACACACCAACCTCCTCCGTGTTTCTCCATCTCCACCAACTCAATACTCTATAATGGGCAGGCAACGCCCAATAAACATGACATGATTTACAGCCTAACCCATAATATTTGTTTCTGGGTCATCCTACTCATTACAGTGTGGGGTTATGCGATATTGGTTCACACTCAGGATGGGTTGGAGAAAGGAAACTCACAATGTGCTTTCTGTATACATATTGTATAGGATGTACAATGCAGCTTGGTGCTGGGAGGTGGCAGCGTGAGTCCAAGTGTGGTATAGAGTGAGCTGGTTGGTGAGGGTGCTCAGAGGAGGCCAGGCAGCTTGTAGGGCGCCATAGTCGCCGGCAAGAGGGGGAGGTGTTGCTTGCTGGTGGCTGTAGGAAGAAAGAGGTAGGTCACGGCGGGGTGAGGTCTTATATAGCAGGGGTAGGCGTGGGTTGGTAGTTGACCTCCGCCTTGTTAGGCGGCGTTGGTTGCCGACCTTGACCACGAGGCATACGCTGGGGAATTCGAAGAGGGTTGGCTGGTGCGGTAACACTTGTGGAGTAGTCATATTTTTTTTTCTTTTTTACTGGGATTAACCCACCCGTGCACATGTCACTGACCCACATCGGGGCCTGGGGGGCGAAAATGTAATAATAATAATAATTCATGGTAAATAACATTTATAATACAAAATTGAAAATAAAATAATAAATTAATAATGATAATAATAATAACACTGTAAAATAATAATAATAAAGAAATACAAAATGAAAAAAGAGATCAATAGTGAGAGACAATATATGTATCTTGTGTTGTCAGTAGTAAGAGAAACAATTGAGACCCAACAATTGTGTGTAAATGAGGCAGAAAGTCAGATCAGCAACCTGGGACTTGGTCACAATTTTTGTGATGCCATATAGCAGCAGGGTCCACCATTAGACAATACGTTATGCTTCTAATAGCGCCAGATATGAACACTCAACTGAGTGATGTCCCAGGCAATATGACAGTACTCCAGGCAGGGGCATCTAGATATGTTAATGATCTTTGTATAAGTCCTAGTAATTTATTTATTTGATTTACCTTCTCACAATGATTTTTAAAAAGTTGCCCGATTGTGTCTTCAGTGTCAGCTTTTGCCTTGGTAATGAATTATAAAGAGAAAACGTTAAAACTAAATTTGTAAATTCAACTAAAATGTTACAATTGTAGACCAAAAAAAATTTTTTCTTTAGTTTTTAATATTAGGTAAGGTAAGGGTAAGTTTGGTTAGATAATACTAAGTTAGGTTACCGTTAGAGAGTTTGATTATCGAGTGAAATAAACTGGGGTGTCTGACACTCTGGTGGTCACAGTGACTCTCTCTTAAGTAACCAAATAGCATATTGGCTTCACCAGCTGTGTACAGTGTAGTGTATCAGCACAAGACAGGTGCGCACTGTACCACTCTGGAGAAGGTGCTCAGAAAGTTGTCATAAAACTTGTCAACAATTTGAAAGTCGAAGTATAATTGGGCGAAAGTTTGTACGAGTGTATGAACGTCTTCCTTAACACGTCTGAAATTATTGGTTGATGTTCAAGAATTGTCTGAAAGTCATCAGGTTTTAAGTTTGATCATTTCAGTGTCGTGTGAGATCGTCCTTGTATACAGAACTGTATTGATCAGTATTGTACATAGAAAGTTCTCCCACCAACTATCACTGTATGTTTATCTTTCTCTCGTCACTAAATTGTCGAACATAATTCGTCGGCAGTTATTTATTTGTTTTCTTAATTTTATTTGCATGAGATGCTATTTTGCCAAGTTTGGTGTTATAGCTTAATCTTTCACTGTACAATGTGTCATGTCAACAGTCACAGGTTTTTTGAGTCTGGATGAAGTTTGGCACATTGCGTAATTATATACTGTACCTCTGGCTCCCATTTGTTTCTTTCCCTTAATACACCAACATAAACTTCATATGACGTCAACTCTCTATGGACCACTGGACCAGTCTTAATCACGCGCTGACTTTCTGTACATATAATCTCAATGAATAAGTGACGTCACCACATTCTTATCCACTCATAACACAATCAAGACGACTTCATCACATAACCTAGTGTTTACGTGCCCGCACTTCTCATCCCATTAAACACCAACGTAAACGTTGCTTGACATCACCATGCTCTGGGCGACTCACCCAGAATTTCACTCAAGTGACGTCAGATATAGTTATACTGCATACAGTATACCTACTCTTTTCTTCCCATAATGCACCAACTTAAAAATTTAATGACGTCACTGTGCTCTGGTCCACTCACCGTCAAGACAATGACTTGGCGAGGTAACAGCTGGCGGTAATTGGTGTGGTCCGAGGAGGCAGCCAACACACTCGTATAGCCATCATCATAAACACTTTCATAATGCGCACATGCACGAGCTTCTAGACTGACCACCTGCCGGGGAGTTGATTGGGGAAAAATGCTCTCAAGCTAAATTTCGTGTAACATCTGTAAAGTGGATTATCTAGTTAAGGAATATTTTTAGTGTAATTTGGGTATTATTATTCAGATGTTTTGTTTGTGTTGTTTAACGCAGGTCTAACAAGTACTTGACGTTGTTACATCACCA